AGGGCGCATTTTACTCAGAGAACCCCAGCCATTTGACCCGTGTAAAACAGGTTTTCAGTTCTACCATAGTAATGAAGTACTGAATCATACTTGTGATCAGTTGTATCCTTTGGGAGCGTTGGCTCGTGCTTAAACAACGTGGGCAGAGGTTTGTTGAACGGGTTTATCAGTTAGTTGACACCTGGTTTCCATGAGAGATTGTAATTAACCAGGCCGTTGGTCAGCGAGAGGTAGTTTCCATTATGAGGGGGCGGCAGGGCTGAAGCACGATCTGCTATTTCAGCCAGCAAATTGGAGAAATTAATGATGTGGATAATGTGCGCGCCCCTCTCAGATCTGAGGGACGCTGCGAGGCCTTGATCAGACGGACGAAGCCACCATGCATGCATGTTGACATTGGATCTGTTCCCTCGTGTGCAACAGTTCTTCTGGTATCATTTAAAGGGTTTCAGGACCGTATGACTGGACAATGGTTAGCATTTAAGGATTGGGGTAAAAATGGGTGTGTAGCGCAATCAACATGATTCAATTTGTTGAGATACTGGAAAGTAAACACTACTGAAAAGAGCCCCTTTTTTTGGACCAATCGCAACGCATGTAGCACACATCAGAAGTTTGTCTGAGTTCTGACAGGGAATGCACCGTGGCCATATAGCCTCTTCCTAATTTGGTCAAAAAATACCCCAAAATGGATCACATAGCCCATGTGTCGCTACGCGACAGCCTGGGGCGCTGATGGCAACAAGAGGGTTTGCTCTCAATAAGTCCCGTAAGCTGTCTGCAAAGCATGGCATTCACCTGGTGCGACCTGTGATGTTTCCACTCTGCAGCCTGTCTCCGCTGGATCGGCAGGTGGGTGAAGTCAAGATACTGTTACAGCTCTTTGCATCAGCTTGCCTCTGTTTTGTCAATGCAGTGTGTTATCAAGTGTGTAAACACGGCTGAGGAATCAAAGGGTTTCCTCTGAAGCACCACTACAAAGAGCTGGCTTCTGCTCTCTCAAGCCCATTTCGTTCAGTACCTTTAACTGTATTTTTATCTCGCACACCGGTTATGTGCCACCGGGGTGAGAACTTTCAGCCCCCTCAGACTTTTCTACATTTTGTCATGGCTTAACCACAGATTGAATTGAATTTATTTCATTGGGATTTTATCTAATGGACCAATACTAAATAGTCCATTATCTGGGGAGTCAGGGGAAAGTTGGCATGGATTTCAAAAAAGAATTGTTGAGTGTATATGTATTCACCCATTTAATGTAAAACCCTTCACACAGCTCTGGTCCAACCAATCTCCTTCACAAGTCACCTTTGCAAGTTACATAATCAGTAATTGTCCAAAACTCTTGAACGTGCGATCTTTAACCAACTCTCCTCCCATCTCCACCGTAACAACCTCCTTGACCCCCACCAGTCAGGCTTCAAGGCAGGCCATTCCACAGAGACTGCTCTCCTTGCTGTCTCAGAGCAACTCCACACTGCTAGAGCCGCCTCTCTCCTCTGTCCTCATCCTTCTGGACCTCTCTGCTGCATATGACACAGTTAACCACCAGATCCTAATTTCCTCTCTTCAGGAACTTGGTGTCACAGGCTCTGCTCTCTCCCTTCTCTTGTCCTACCTTGACGGCCGCACCTACCGGGTACCTGGCGAGGATCTGTGTCGGAACCATGTCCTCTTACTACTGGAGTTCCTCAGGGTTCCGTCCTGGGTCCCCTCCTCTTCTCGCTCTACACCAACTCTCTCGGCGCCATCATTCGTTCGCATGGCTTCTCCTACCACAGTTACAGGTGAAGCTCGAAAAATTTGAATATCGTGCAAAGGTTAATTTATTTCAGTAATTCAACCTAAAAAGGTGAAACTAATATATTATATAGATTCATTACAAGCAAGTAATTGTAAGTAAGATATTTCAAGCCTTTATTTGATATAATTTTGGATGATTATGGCATACAGCTTATGAAAACCCTAAATTCAAAATCTCAGAAAATTTGAATATGACATGAAATCAATAAAAAAAAAAAGGATTTTAAATACAGAAATGTCAGCCCTCTGAAAAGTATAATCATGCATGTGTACTCAGTACTTGGTTTGGGCCCCTTTTGCATTAATCACTGCCTCAATGCGACATGGCATGGATGCTTCAATAGCGGCCTTCAGCTCTTCTGCATTGTTTGGTCTCATGTCTCTCATCTTTCTCTTGGCCATGCCCCATAGATTCTATATGGGGTTCAGGTCAGGCGAGTTTGCTGGCCAATCAACCACAGTAATACCATGGTCATTGAACCAAATTTTGGTACTTTTGGCAGTGTGGGCAGGTGCCAAGTCCTGCTGGAAAATGAAGTCAGTCTCTCCATAAAGCTTGTCTGCTGAAGGAAGCATGAATTGCTCTAAAATGTCCTGGTAGACAACTGCGTTGACTCTGGACTTAATAATGCACAGTGGACCAACGGCAGCCGATGATATGGCTCCCCAAACCAACACAGACTGTGGAAACTTCACACTGGACTTCAAGCATCTTGGATTGTGTGCCTCTCCTCTCCAGATTTTGAATTTGGGGTTTTCTTAAGCTGTAAGCCATAATCATCAAAATGATATCAAATAAAGGCTTGAAATATCTCACTTTGCATGTAATGAGTATATAATATATTAGGTTCACCTTTTAAGTTGAATTACTGAAATAAACTTTTGCACGATATTCTAATTTTTCGAGTTCCACCTGTATGCCGATGACACCCAACGAATTCTCTCCTTCCCTCATTCGGCCACTCAGGTGGCAGCACGGATCTCTGCCTGTCTGACATCTCTCAGTGGATGTCCGCTCACCATCTGAAAATCCACCCTGACAAGACTGAACCACTTCTCTTTCCGGGAAAAGATTCTCCGACCCAGGACACGACGGTTAACTTTGGCAACTCCGTGTTAACACCCACTTTGACTGCTAGGAACCTCGGCGTGAGACTCTTAGCCAACTCTCCCTGACTCCCAACATCACTGCAACAACACGATCCTGTAGATACACGCTGTATAACATCAGGAGAATACGTCCCCTTATCACTCAGAAGGCAGCGCAGGTACTGATTCAGGCTCGTCATCTCACGCCTGGACTACTGCAACTCCCTCCTGTTAGGTCTCTCCGCTATCGCCATTCGACCTCTGCAGCTCATCCAGAATCCAGCCGCTCGACTGGTCATTAACCTTCCGAAATTCTCCCACACTACTCCACTCCTCCGCTCTCTTCACTGGCTACCGGTGGCTGCCCGCATCCAGTTCAAAACATTGGTGCTCACGTACCATGCTGTGAAAGGATTGGGTCCAGCTTACATTCCGGACATGGTCAAACCCTACATCCCGACCCGCACTCTCTGCTCTGCATCTGCTTGTTCCTCCCTCACTGAGAGCAAAACACTCGACAAGATCACGACTCTTTGCTGTCCTGCTCCGAAATGGTGGAACGAGCTCTCTGATGACACCAGGACCGCAGAGAGCCTTCACATCTTCTGCCGCAAACTAAAAACACACCTCTTCAGACTCTACCTCGACTAAAAGACTAACAAATTGTAGCACTTAAATTGTACTTACAATACAATGTCCTGGAGGCTAGAGGTGAGGGGGGGTGTCATAATGGGTGTCACCTGTGCACATGGTGCAACCTGGGGCGGGTTGATTGACTCCACTATAAAGGTGGAGGACATCAACTGTTGGGGGAAAATGGTGGAACATCTGTGTAGCTGAGGGCACGTGTTAGATGAGGTTATGTTGAGTTTATTCAGTTAATGAATTAGGTTTTGTTTTGTTGTTTATCTGTTTAATGAGACATGTATCAGGGACCTTTCTTTTTACAAATAAAAAAAACCTTTTTTTTTACCTGGACCAAGTCTCGCTTGCCTGCCTCCTAATTCCAGGATTCTCTCGGTCGTGGCATTCTCACAATCCCTATGGTTGAATGCACTTATTGTGAGTCGCTTTGGATAAAAGCGTCAGCTAAACGACATGTAATTGTAATGTAAATAGGCTCCACCTGTCTGCAATTTAATCTCAGTATGAATACACCTGTTCTGTGAAGACCTCAGAGTAGAAGACCAAGGAACCACCAAACAGCTCAGGACAAAGTTTTAGCTTTAGTTTTTTGAAGCAGGGTTAGGTTATACACAAATATCCCAAACTTGGAACATCTCACAGAGCACCATAAAATCCCCAAAAAAAAGAATATGGCACAACCGCAAACCAAGAGAAGGCCGTACACCCAAAGTTATCAGGCACACAAGGAGAAGATGAATCAAAGAAGCAACCAGGAGGCCCATTGGAACAATGGAGGAGCTGCACAGATCCACAGCTGAGGGGGAGAATCTGTCCACAGGACAACTATTAGCCATGTACTCCACAAAAGAGTGGCAAGAGAGGGGAGTCATGTCACAAAGAGTGGCCAGAAGAAAGCCGTTGACGAAAGTGAACCATAAGAAATTGCGTTTGGTGTTTGCAACAAGCCATGTGGGAAACACGCAAACATGTGGAAGAAGGTGCTCTGGTCTGATGAGACCAAAATAGAACTTTTGCAAAACGCTAAAAAAATGTGTGGCAGAAACCCATGTGCAAGGCACTGCAATTGCAGAGGAATACAAGAGAGGAAACAATATATGGAAAGAATACCAAAAATAAAAATGTGAAATTGCAAAATACAAATTACAGTTTGGAAAAAAGATTGTACTTTAGTCAGTGTTGGATGGCAGTCTCTTAAGTCATAAAATAAAATGGCTAACTATATGCGAACACAAATAATGTAAAAATAATTTATGTGATTAAAGAGCAATAATATAAAATAAGTGAGTAACAATTTGACACAACCTTTTGAGGGAAGTTACATCTTAATAGTGTTTGCCCCAAAACTCACCCTAAAAATAGAAATATCTAAAAAGAAAATCTTAAAGAAAATTTTACAACGTTTTGTATGTTGTGGCATAGATATTTGTGGCTCTTGTGCGTGATGCTGAGTAAATGCTTACCTCAATGTGGGACTAATAGCAACAGACCACACTCTGTCATACATGGGGATGGTGTCTCTGGGGCAGCTGGAGGTCAGACTCCAAATCTAGAGTAACAAAAGTATGGACACCTTTTCCATGTGTAGACATGCCGTAACGTCCTCATGTGTTTATTTACAGGTTAGAAAAGGGCTAGCCAAGCTAGTAGTAATGGACTTGAATCATAGCTTGTCATCACAAAGGTGTGCTCTAAAGTTTGAGTCACACTCAAACATTCAATGAATGTAGCCAACAACAAAGCAGGATGATTTTTGATGAGTAACCTTTCCCTACAACTCAAGACATTGGCTCAAAGGATCTTTTCTGCTGAAATATCATGAGGCTGATGGTGAACTGAATCTGAAATGTTATTTTTCTGGAGAATGGTACAGTGGTGCTAAACGCATTCTCTTCTTGAAACAAATATGAGACAGAACTGTTCATCTCATTGATAAATCTGGATTGTAAGAGGTTGTTCTGACCCGGGTTGTTTGGTCTCTGGATCCACTGACGATGAGTCCATTTTTAGAGTCCAGGCAGTTGACTTCCTGGTTGTGACCAGACAACTCCAAGGTCTTGTCCCTCCTCCTGCTGTGAACCAGGATCCTGCCGTCACTGAGGAAGGGGGAGATATTTCAAACCATCAGGAGGACGTGCACAGTCATTGAGAGAGAAAATCTGAGGAAGTCGTCTTCCAGCATGGGTTGAAGTGCGTAAACCACTGTATGAGTGTTATGAACTGAAAGTGGAAGAACAAATAGAGCACTTGGTAACCTTCCGCCGCTGATCAGGTGAGAGTCCGTCAGGACGAAGCGGCAGACATCACCCTTGTGACCCGAGTAGATTTCAAACGGGTTGCGCTGGAGCCTCCCAGAGTCCGGGCGCAGACGGTACGCTCGAATGTCAGCCGCATGAGACAGAAACAGGACATTCCCATCCAGCTGCAACCACGGCAACAGTCTGGAGGAAAGATCAGTGATTGCGAGAAATAATAGCAATGCACTTTCTTTTCGAGAGTTAGTAAGATGGATTGTCAGTCTCAAGCCTGTAGTTTACGTATAGTGTCAGAAACAGCACATGCTTAGCATAGCATTAAATAAAGCTATACTAGTCTTTTTATAACCAGTTTTTAAAGGCTAAACCGAATAACTTGGCTCCTACTATAAAACATATCATGCATGGAACCAAAGCTCTGAACTGTCAGAGTTCAAATAGTTCAAATAGTTTATAGACAAAATACTCACTTTGTTTTCCATTTAAGAGGAATTGCCCTTTTGCAGACCCCATCATACCAGTTCTGAGCTATCTTCACCCTCTCCTTCAGTGGGATGGAAGGATATCTGCAAAGACAGCGGCGGCTTAAGACAAGGGCTGAAATTATGGCTAGTTTTACAACATCCCCATCAGGAGAAAGGTAGTGTGTATATATGTGTACACACACATCTTCTCATTTAATGAGAAGTTGTATCCAAACTTTGGACTGGTACACATATACCACTTTATTAGGTACACCTGTTAAACTGCTTCTTAGCACAAATTGCTAATCAGCCAATCACACGGCAGCAACTCAATGCATTTAGGGATGTAGACGTGGTCAAGACAAATTGCTGAAGTTCAAACAGAGCATCGGAATGGGGAAGAAAGGGGATTTAAGTGATTTTGAATGTGGTTGTTGGTGCCAGACGGGCTGGTCATAGTACGTCACAAACTGCTAATTTTTTTTTCTTGTTTTTTTCAAACTCTCCATGTGTTTTTATTGTTAGCACTTACCTGTTTTATCATGTAGCACTTTGGGATTTGCTTAAATATAAAGTGCATTACAAATTAAAATGTATTACTATTATTATTAATTTACTGGGATTTTCACACACACACCATCTCTATGGATTACAAATGATGGTCCCAAAAAGAGAAAATATCCAGTGAGCGGCAGTTATGTGGACGAAATTTCCTTGGAGATGTGAGAGGTCAGAGGAGAATGGGCAGACTGGGTCGAGATGATAGAAAGGCAACAGGAACTAAAATAACTCAACCAGGGAATGCAGAATACCATCTGTGAACGCACAACACGTGAAACCTTATAGAAGACAGGCTGCAGCAGCAGAAGACCATTCCAGGGGACACTCCTGTCAGCCAACAACAGAAAACTAATTACTAAGACTAAGACTAATCGCACAGGCTCACAAAAACTGAACAATAGAAGATTGGAAAAACGTTGCCTGGTCTGAGGAGTCTCGATTTCAGCTGAACATTCAGATGGGTCAGAATGTGGCGTAAATGAAATGACATGAAAGCATGGATCCATTGTGCCTTGTATCAACGGTTCAGGCTGCTGGGGATGTAATGGTGTGGGGGATATAAATGCCGCAGCCTACCGAAGTATGGTTGCTGACCATGTCTATCCCTTTAGGACCACAGTGTTCCATCTTCTGATGGCTACTTCTAGCACCATGTCACAAAGCTCATATCATCTCAAACTGGTTTCTTGAACATGACAATGAGTTCACTGTATTCCAATGAAAGGTGTACCTAATTAAGAGGCCGGTGAGTGTGTGTATATATATATATATATATATATATATATATATATACTCTAACTTTTATAACTTATAACTAACCCATAGCCTTATATTCTAACCCATAGCGTTATATTTCATTTTATTCCATGCACTATGTTGTCTTATCTGTCTTGTTGTCCATTGTCTAACTGTCTGCAGTTGTGCACCAACCGCCAAGTCAAATTCCTTGTATGTCTGACATATTTTGGTAATAAATGTTTCCTGATCCCTGATTCGGTCTGTTAACCTGCGCTTTAATAGAAAATTAAATCTTGGTATAATGAACAACTAATGAAAAAAAAATAAGACAAGAAGAGAAGGAGCTCAGGTTGGTTTTTACGCTCTACTCTTATCTAACTTTTAACCCTCAAATCCGGCTTATTCCTACACAAATGTGCTATATAATTCCTACTCAAAGAAGAGGTTTATGAGTTGAGTTTATAGGTTCATGGTTGTGGGACACAACCCTTTTGCACGTACTATTGCAACATAATCAGACTATGAGAATATAAACACAAGCCATAATGTAGAATATTGATGCTGTGTGTATACTGTCCTCTGCGAGTATGCGCAGGAAGGTAAACTGACTAATAGTAAACGTACATTAAACGTGACCCAAAGATGAACGTTCAGTACACAGTGTGAATGCACCCGGCTAAACGCTAAGCTAAAAACAAACACGGCGGATTTGTCATCAGTGTGCGACCGTTTTCTCACATGTCCGTCCCGTTCCGAGTGATTCCAGTGTTTAAAAACTCTTTGGCGATCTTCCTCCACACCACGTCCCGGTTCACGAAGTGGTAAATGGTTTTACAAACTTGAGAGAGGCGACTAAGGGATTTGTAGTCCAAATGAGACAAGATATGATAGAGAACATCCTCCGGCAGCTGCGACAGCAGCATGCTAATGGTGCTGCCGTGGCCTGGTGCCGCACTCCGGGTCTCGTGAGCGTGCGACGCTGCTTTGTGAGAACGGGTTATGAACGCTGTCAACAAAATATCTCATCTTCAGAAAGCAGCAGGGCTGTTATGTGGTCAGCATGACCGAGAAAACAGGAAGTTGTTTCAGCAATGACAGCAGATGACGACATCCCTGCGTCCCTGGACGTGATGACGTGAGGACGTTACGTCATAAAGTGTTGTCCGTCCGTATGTCTGTGTTGTGTACCTTGTGACGAGGTCATAGTGCATGCATTTCTTGAAATAAAACAGTTTATTTATATTAACGATCGTATGTGTATCTACATTTTAGTATTGTATGTGACAATATTAAATGGCATATGACTATAGCACTTTATTTTTCATTTTTATATTAGCAGTGCCAATAGAGCAATACAATTAAACTATGAAACATGACACCAAAATGAGACATGAGAGGAGAATTATTAGACCACGGCAAAATATTATGATTGTGAAAAAAAGGGTTAAAGAAAAGTCAAAATTTGCAATTGGCAATGTCTACAAATTGTCACTGATTTGTTGAAGGGCACCTCCTTATAGGCAAGGAACAGGCTGTATAACATTTCCCAAAGGGAAACAGATCTGAGATGCCCAGGCATAGAGTTGCAATGCTGTCCGCCACAGTGAAGTCGGCCCAATCAGCCCTGTGTCACTCATGGCTATTCAAATTATGGTATGTCATAGAACGTAGTAATCATATAGGCCTACTGTCTAAGTGGAAATAGTCATTGTGATATTAACCATTAGTGAGTGTTCACTAAACATCATGCTGTATTGTACAAGACTTGAAACTAAAGATTGAGACCATAAACTCATATCTACATTGTAAATCAAGAGAGGAGAGTCATGTCATCATAGACTTTGATACAATATGACTGTTTTTGCAACCAGATGAGTTGCCCCCTGCTGATCAGTCGAGAGAATGCATGTTTTAAGAATCTTCGTATTGGCTTCAACAACCTAAGGTGGCCTGGCTTGAATCCGAAACCACTCCTAGCAAAAATAAGGCTACTAAGGGTAGCTTTCTTTTGGTCAAAAGTAGCTGTGTGACCACATACCATTCAACATATGGACGGTAACATTCAGAGAACCCACGCAGGATTTGATCCAACTATGGACCTGTTGAGTACTAGTAGTCTGAAGATCCAACCCGGTCCTGTTAATAAACCAGGTTCCACATTCCTGAATTGATTAGGATGGTGATATTATATATTTTGCCTCAGCCATTTAGTCCCTTCATTACCACAAACACACACACTGTAGTTCATTTGGACTCAATACTGTCCTGCTCACACAAATACTCACTAGAGAAACAAATGTGGATTAATCCGCACCTCAAATTATTTACATTCAAAGACTATTTTCCTCTTAGTTGACAGAATGTTATACCTGCGTGAATAAAAGTGTGTGTTTTTTTGGACTGAGATCATCCAAAGACAATCTAGTACGAACATGGAAAAAAGTTCCTGCCCAGTAAAAACCACATGTGTACTTGTGCTGGGCCACTTCCCCCTAACAGGGACACCTGCTACTGAACATAGATTATTGATGGATACATGGACTGTTAATGCTGTTCCCAGATCAAAAGCACATGATTATGCTGGTACCTGTTCAAAACAAAGAAAACCTACTTATAATGTTATCATCATGGACCGTTACTTAAAAGCAATCTAGATAAAATGTTAATGCCCTGGCAGTGGCAAATAAGTTTAGTTTAGATTTGATTTGATTACATAAATGTTTAAGTACGTTGGATATTAAGTGCCTTGGATATTGGGAAGGGGCCCAATTAGCTTGAGGATTGGGATGGAGACTGAGTCTCTAAAGCGGCCATTGAGCAGTGGAGCTACAGGGGGGATGGGAATGTAAAGGGTGGGTAAAGGCTGGCGCATGCTTCTGCGTCTGCGTCAGTCATGTCAACGCACTCGTTTCAATTCATGGTTCAAAAAGGCTTCCGCGTGTTGCAAAGCAATTCACCCCAAGAACAATTACATTACATTACATGTCATTTAGCTGACGCTTTTATCCAAAGCGACTTACAATAAGTGCATTCGACCATAGGGGTACAAACTCAAAAGAACAACAAACAAGAAAGTGCAAACAATTTCGGCCAACTTCCAACAGCCAACTTCGGGCGAGAGACGGGGTATGTTCAACACCCGCAGTAATTAATATACAGGTATGTTAGGGCATTAAAAATAGAGGAGTGCTATGACTGTCCTCTGCGACACCACCAAAACACATACTGTATGGCTTATGTTCTTGAAGAACACTACAACACTAGAAAGTTGACAGAGTAAACCAAGCAAACACATTGGTCTGGTATATACTGTGGGATAGTGAGGGAATGGATGTGCTGCACAGGGATCAGGTGACTATGGTGGGAACACACTGAGTGCAACTCCAGGGCAGGTGGGGAATAACAGGCTGTGGTGACTCCAGAGGGAAGCAAGTGGAGGCCGCCACCACACCTAAAAATGTGCTTTGCCAAACAGGCTGCCACCCCCATTGAGTAATCTGGATAAATATGATAGAATGTGACACTATAGACTCCACAGTCTCTCTGTTTCCTCCCATCCACAACAGCTTTCTGTGCGACCTCTACCTGGTTGCACACGACTGCTTGTGGATTTTTTTTAGACCCAAATTCTTGTGTAAGGTCACCAAACTTCACTTAGTTTAAAAATAGAACAGCCTCAGGATGATACTGGTGGGCTGATCATGTGGGATGGATGAAACCTGGATAAAACCAAATGTAAAGGGTCTCCTGATTGCCTGCCACTACCAACATCTCAGACGTTGTTCATACTTGAGATGAATGCTTCATATAAAACTATCCAGTCTTTCAAGGGCCTAACAGCACGCGCTCCAAGCCCCAAAAACAGTTTTTTAAAGACCAGTTATGTCTGATGAATGAAGTGAACTTCTTGCACTGTCTGCATTCCGTTCCCTCTCTCTCCCTAATCCTCACAACGATAAAATAATGCAAAAAAAATAGATGTTAATGACTCAATCATTCCTCCAAACTGGCACATATAGAAACATGTTTTAAAGGGTCAGTTCTCCCAAATTAAACGGCTGTATTGTTTTTGTTAATGATACTTTAACAAAAACAAAAAATATATGAAATTGTGAAAGGACTTTATTTTTGCAAATTTCTAGGTTTTTCAACTGCACTCACACTAATGATAATAACTAGTCGGGCTCTGGTGGTGTTTCTCTGTGTGTGGTCACTTAGTGAACCATTTTAGCTATTTTTTGTTTGGTCGAAATGTCTCCAGGCCCACATGTGCACCAGCTTCCGCAGTTCTCCTCATATGGTGATCTATACAGACACTAAGCAATAGAATGAAAGTGGAACCCAACCTACCACGGCCCTCGGGGCTGTTTAGCCACTAAAACTGCCAAGGTTGTGTCACGGTCAAATGACTACCAAAAGTTGATTGACCTTATGACATTTTGTGAGGCGCTTAACCGTTTAGCATCAGTAGCATCAATTTGCGCTCATTCACATCATGAGGGTCCTCAAGCCTGCAGTTACGAGTGGCATCCCCAAAGCTCTTTGATGAGCTGAGCACAACCGCACATAATTGAAATATGCATCGTTTTTCTTTCTTTCTTTGCCGTTTTTTAAGACAAGTCCCGTTGTTGAAAGCCGTGCTCTCTCTAAAAAGGCCATGTCCCAAACACTGGGCCGTCGAAAAAAATCATTTATGGTTGGGTTTCCAGCTGAACTGTCGTGGCTAAAAAGAAATGAAGAGGTTGGGAGGAGGGTTGCGGGGAGTGGAGGAGACGTTTGGGGGCTGCAGTGGGGGTGTTTCAAGGGGACTATGGAAGGGAGGGGCGGATGGGGGGTCTCCCCTTTTGATCTTTTTAGGGCAGCAAAGACAGAGGGGGGTGCTTTGCCTGCACTGGCAAACACATTTAGCTGGTAATTGTTCAGATCAGACTGACAATCAGTCTTGGAAATGCATGGACAAACAAAAGTTTACAGCTCCAATTGGAAAAGTCAACAGGTCCCGCATAAGGCCCGTACACAAACAATGAAACTGACGAGCTGGAGCTCCACTTTGATCAGTTGTTTGCATTTCAATTATCCAGCCTGGTCGGACTGGTGGCTTTTGTTAGCCCTCCTGAATAGGGGCCTGTATTTAATGGGACGCCTGTCATTTTTGATAGAGAATCCATCAACCCTACCATTTTGGCTCTCGGACCTCCCGAACATCCTCGACAAGTGTTCAGAACAGTACTAATTCACTTGGCACTAGTCAGATGCAAGGTGTTTAATCACATTTTTAAAGCAAAACTGTGTTCTTTAAATATCTTATTTTTTGTATGATGAATTTTTTCTTTTCGTTTTCCTGTTTTATTATGTTGCTAATTTGTATATTGGATTCCTTTATTGGATTTTCCTGTGATTCCATATATTTTAATTATTGATGTGGATAATTAAAACAGAACCACAAAAGAGCATAATTTATGATCTTGATCGGTCAAACCACCCGAGCTGGGTTTGAAACGCCAGCATGTATTGACTTCAGGCTGCAATGTATATGACGTATTTATATGTGTAACCAGGATCTTGGAAATAGTCAAATCTGGACAGGAATTGCAGTTCTTTTTTTTCAAGAGGAGTGCACTAGCCTTATCTCTGCATGGTGGGCTTATTGTTCTTTCAAGGATTTTCCCACACTGCCACGATAGTATTCCCCTTTTTTGGTTTAAAAAAAATACAAAATAAGGAATTTATCTGCAAAATGTAAAGCAAGTGATGATGCACAAGAAAACCTTTTGAAACAATGCAGTTTTTGCAGATGTATTTGTTTTTACAGTTGAACAATGTATTTGGAAATATTTCCAACAATACATACATTTAGTTCAATATTAATTAAACTATAAAACACAACAACCAAGAGAGAGAAATAGAAAGAAAAGAACCACTGATTAATAATTAATTTTTTAATAATGGGTTGTCGTGGCGCAGGGGGTAGAGAGGGTGTGCTGGGAACCACAAGGTTGGTGGCTCGAGTCCCGGCAGCCCCATGTCCCAAGTTGAAGTGTCCCTGGGCAAGACACCTAACCCCTAAGTGGTCCCCGGGCAAAATCTAAGAGCCATGCGTTAAAAATGTAATGTAAGTCGCTTTGGATAAAAGCGTCAGCTAAATGACCTGTAATGTAATTGGGAGAGAAAAGTTGTGAACAAAATGTTGAATTTTAAACAGCGCGTAGTTTTAGAAATTGAAAGACTTTACTTTCTGCAAACCATCTATTTATATTTATGCGGTTTTGAGTTCTCCTTGGTGTAAGGGCATTTCCTAAAGCAATTTATGGATTTTGATAAACTGGTGAAATTAAAGAGAAATAATTTCATGATTCTTGAAGCCCGGGTCTGAGTATAGCTTATCTATTCATAATTTAGTTTTGAAGGAAAAACAGAAGTTCCAAACGTGTCTCATAAACAACAACTTGGAGATCTCTCCGCACCTCATGAGTCATTGATATTCTTGACAAACATGCTAGGAAAGGTTTGGAAAACTATTGATACATTATCATTTACAGCTCTTGGATGTCCCCCCACAGAGTCGACAGCAGTGGTCTGCTGCCTTGGAAAAATCCTCATCTTCCTAAATGTTTCTGAGCGTACAAGGTTGCGAGTGCTTTTTAATGGGGGCAGCTTCTGTGTCGGCTTGTGGCTTTTCCAAGCTGCTTAGGGAGGCAGGGTCACGTTCTCCGGTCACCCCTGCTATTCTACGGCCTCCTAAGGGGGGTCGAGGCAGGGGTTAAATTGCTCCCTAAGAAAATGAAGAAGGTAGCTCTGTTTGTTTATCCGGGGTTAAGGATGATGGCTGCTGCTCAATAAAATGGATGAAAGCAACGTTACCCCCCTGTTTTCGGCACTGGAATTGCTCCACATTTGCATGGCAGCATTGGCAACACAGAAGGTGTGATTTTTCCCACAAGCCAGCTCACTGACGTTCACTGTGACTTTACAGACACTGAAGGCTGTGGTGGGGGCTGTAATGGAGAGGGGGCAGACTGGAACCCTAATTGAATCAATTCACACAAAGTCTACTGGCCTTCCAAAGGCTCTGCAAATCCTGAATTCAGGAAGACACTCATGGAGTCATCTGCATACTGTTGTTGTTTTTAAACAAAACTGTATTTTACTAGTATTTCTCCCTCATTATCAGGCTGCCTCATTGAGTTATCACTGAGCACTGAGCATTAATTGATTGATTTGGTGTCTGTGAGCTTCTATGGGAAGTCCTGAGGGACAAATCCGCCTGCTAATCCAATGTGGAAGGAGTTAAGCAGATTAATGTCATGTATTGTCAAGACCATTTAATTCAGTGCTTTAGTTCGGACAGCCTTTGATATGTCAGGATTAACTAGTGAAGGAACTCGTCCAGAAGCACGGGGGTCTCAAACGTTTTTTGTTTTTTTATCTTAACAAGGATAATTTTTAGGAAATGTGATTGGATATGTGATCCATAACAGGAGTTTGAGTTGAAAAACAAGACTTATGAAGAGGACCTCACCTTGTGCTTGTGGGGTTATGGTGATGGCGTTTTTAGAAATGTTTTTTATAAACCAAATCAAACATAAAAAGGGGTACCTTAAGCCTACATTGTCAACCTGCCCGTGTTGGGAAGGTCCATATTTCTCTTCCCAAAATTGTTTAGAAAATAAACACTACTTCAATGTTGTGTGATTTGCGTTTGCTCACCGTTATGGCCATTAAAAGTTTTCAGGAGGTTTGATTTATTTTTCAAGTAATTTGTTTATTAACCCAGTCATATAGCGCTATCCGCTACATGAAAATCAGTGTTGTCTCTTATTGTGAAACGTTGGTAAAAAATAGAGAACTAATACGATTTGAACTCGGTCACAGTATACACACAAACAATTACGGCATATAAAGAGCTTAGTCATTGTACTGTGGTTATCATCATAGAAAGTACCATGAACACCATAAAAACGCTCCATTTACTAAATCGATCTATGATTTTTGTAGATTGTAATTGTAATATTATTATTGTGGAAACATGTTCATGATTTTTATAGCCCACGTTGCAAGTTGCCTGATTCTTAGAACTGCAGTGAGACAATGGGAGAGAGGAGAATAAACACTCTGCACCAAATGTATAGGGTCAACTTGTAAGTCAGCAGTGCTGGAACTATTTGCTCTCCAGCTGGCAAACAAACACAAAGACAAACACAGAGAAACAGACTCTGTCTTATACAAACACACACAAACTAACAGACACATTTTCACAGACAGGGAGCAGAGGTTTCAATGATTCAAAATTGTATTATCAATTAAAGCGGATCTTATTGTCATAGCAGAGGTAGATGACGTTTATCCAATATTTGAAGTTCATGGAACATCAAATTTGTGTAGTGTCCTGTCTATGTGTAACACACAAACAAACCTGCCTACACATACAAACAGTAGAGCCCGGTGGGATTGTCCAATCAGATTATACACTGGGGTGTTAAAAAGGCGGCAGATGAAAAAATAACAGTGAAGATAGTGAGAGTTACAGAAACTGATGGAAGCTAAAGCCTAAAAACAAACACAGGCTGTATCATCCCCACAACAGTGAAGTGCTCTGACACTGACATGCTGTTATCTTCCTAAAAGGACGGTGGGGGAACTGGGGGGTTGACCTTGTTATCCGTTTTGGGATCAGGCTAAGAATACATTCCCATTGCCTGGTAAGGTTTAATATGGGGAAGAAAAACCAAGAGCAACAGGTTTCCCTCCGGTTTCCTTTGGAAGATGCTGAGTCACGTCTGAGGGGCCCCACAAACAGAGAAAATTTAAAATCAGGCTCAAAAAGAGGTGTTTGCCCCTTTAAATCTATGCAGGACACATTTGAAACTGTCCCCCACGCAGAGTCTTGCTAACTTTAGCTCTAAAACTCCCAAATCTCAGCGGTGGAATTTGGTCTTAATCTAAATCAGTGTACGAGACTTCGTACAGAGACGTCATTTGTCTAAGGTCATCTGCAGTATATAAAACAGGGCCCCCATGACATAGGGGCCTTCTCCAACCAGCGTAATGAATGCTTGATTCAAAAGTCACCAAATCTATCTGATTTAGAGATATACCACCAACACCTGCACTAATCAAGGATAACAGTCACCGTCAAATTGGATTAATGTCATAATTCAATATAACTAACTAACCCTAACCCTATGTCACAAAGTACCAATTCACAGCAACTATCTAGAAATGAAATATCTTTATTAAGTTTACAATGTAATGTTTAAATAATCAACCACCTTTTAAATAATTTCACAGTTATGTATCTCACTCCACCTTCCTGCACTTGTATTTTGAATGTTATTACTTTAACAAATAAGAAATACAGCTCACAATAAAAAGAAGATCATACCTTTGATTGATGGCAATATCTGTTTCTCTTTTGACAATGACAATTGGGTAGTGAGCATCTGATCATGGGACAGCCCTACAGTGGCACTATGGTAGTTTGTATTGACAGATATATAACCATCAACTTACTATTGGTTGTGTCTTCAGGTACAGTATCCACAAATGCGAAGCCCTGTTAACACCTCTAATCACTATGCTTCTTTTGCTTCTGTGGACATACCAAGGAGACAGTGATGGATAGCTGACCACATACAGCTGACTAACAAACAAGCTGACATTAAGTAAACACTAAATGAATCATCAGCAGTGTAGATGTGGCCCAAAGACTACAACCAAAGGGCTGTCAGATTCGGTATTTAGCAGCTGAGGTTAGCGTAGTTAGCATTACTAGTAGCGTACGTGCTGTAGGCTTGGAATACGAGCTGTATGCAAGAAGTGGACGTAGTCACTGTGACACACATTGTGTTGTGCTCTGCTCTTTTCTCAGGGTTTGCACTTTGGCTGTCACCATCTTCGTGTTTAGCCTTCATTATCCTGTTTTGAATTGTTAGGGCTAGAGAGAGTGCGCCGGGAACTGCAAGGTTGGTGGTTTGAGCCCCGGCTGCTCCATGTCCCATGTTGAAGTGTCCCTGAGCAAGGCACCTGACCCCTAATTGCTCCCTGGGCAAAAATATAAAAAGCCATGGGTTAAAAATGCAACATAAGTCACTTTGGATAAAAGTGTGAGCTAAATGACTGTAATGTCTCAAACGTTGATGTCCCTTTAAGATAGCATTGAATTCTAAATTATCTAATTATTAATCTATTTTTTAAACTGTTAATGTTTTTATGTGTTTAGCGTGAGAATACCACGTTCCACAACGTAGCTATTACACGTTTTGCTGTGAGACTGGGTTTGCAGTCATAACTTTGCAAGCGGGCCAAAACCTTTTTTTAGGGTTATTTTTTTCAAACAAACATTTATCAAACAAGACTTTAATATCATTATTTCAATGTACATTTATTACACATTTTAAATAAATATTCCATCCTTAAAATTATTTTACACATCGTCAAATAAAAATATATTTATATATGTAAAAAAAACGGACAAACTGCTGGGAGAAGACACAGGGGGTGTGGGGATTAGGAGGTTTGGGGGGGGGGGGGTGGTCTTCACACACTGCATTTTGTACTTGTCAGAAGCACACAGTCACAGCAGCAAATCCTGCGATTATCAAATGTAGCTGCCATATCGTTCCACCTTGTGAGAAAAGATACAGTTACGTGGTGCGCTCGTGTCAGGGCCCTTGAAGTCTCCTTGAGCAGCAGGCGGGAGTCCAAAAAAAGACTCCAGTGGCCATAATGAAATAAAACCAATTAAAAAACACAAAACAAACCATACTAAGATGTCCCAATAAGTCAGACAGTCAGTTATGTGCATCTGAAAACGAACCTGGTAACACATTCTGTCTCTATAATGCCTCTTAAAGAATACCTGTTAATAATTATAATGTGTTATAATCTGCTTTAAAAAATGCAATAATTACAGTCATAAGCTCTCTTAAGTATTCATAATGTCTAATAATTATAAAAGACCTATAAGTATCATCATATTTTTGAATGAGGATATACTGTATTATAACCCATATTTCATATTTTACAATACATTATAATGAACGTACAAATTACTCTAATTGGTCGTTTAGATGTAATGAGGAAAAAATATCATGAATCAATAAATTCCTTCTTTACATAAAGCAACATGACCATTGAGATTATCACATTATAATGCATTAGAACCATGACCATAACCAGCATAAGTACTTAAAACTATTATGGAATATATCAGAAGATAATGTTACAATGCATTATAGACATGGTAATAGAAAGTGTTACCTCAAACCTTTTTCTTTTTTGTTACACATTACTAAATCTGAATTACAAAAATAGATTCCTCATGTTTTCATCTATGTACAGCTTTTTACTTTGACAAAAATAGAAAACAATCTACATATTAATATATAGTAATGCTCAATATAAAAATGTCTTTTGAGTTGTTGTTTTATTTTGTTGGGTGCCGGGGGGGGCGACACAGGAGGGTGCCGGCTTCTGGGTTATTCAGTCAGTCCCGTGAGTCTCTCTCTCTCTCTCTCTCTCTCCTCCATCTCCCAGCATCCTCAGCGCTCTGACGAGTAGCGAGTGCGCTTAGTCCTTTGCCTGAAGGGGTAGTGGACAAAGTCGAACGGGCGGTGGTGGCTCGTGTGAGCGGGCTGCTGCCCCTTGGGCAGCCGCTTCATGAAGTGGACCTCGCGCTGGTGCTGGCGCGTCCTCGAGCCCTTCCGCGGGCGCCCGCGCCGGGTGAAGGCCATGTACCAGCTCTCGTAGCGCGCGTTGCGCAGCGCCGTGTAGTTGTTCTCCAGCACGATCTCGGTGAAGATGCAGTCACGACCGTGTCCATTGTTCTGAACGGGGGAAAGCACAAGAAACAGGGTTAGTGAACTACAGAGGGGGACACACACACACACACACACACACACACACATACACACACACACAGCTCCCCTGTGCATGCGGCATATGCTACAGTCATTATAGATCAGAGAGAGGGGGGATGACAGTAAGCGATGAGTCTTCTTCCCCCTCCAGCAAACATCCAGCGGCCCTTTGCGGGTTGCTCGCTGGATTCTCCAGCCTCAGATCCTTAATCCCCCCCCCCCACACACACACCAAAGTGTCACTTTGTCTCCTGTTGCATTTGAGGTTTAAACTTCACCAAGCGGGGCTGCTCGAAATTTAATGACCAATCAATGGACCTGAAACACAGCCTCCCCCGGGGCCACTGAAGGCGGTCAGTTTAGGGCCCCACGCTGGACAGTGTGCAGCTTGTCAGGGGACGAGAAGCCGTCATATAAACAGCTCTGTGTGGGGGGTGTGAACATAATTGGCGAGGGGAAATGTACAGTATGGGTCAGCTGACAGGGGCGGCCTACTGTAACGAGTCGTGTGACAAAAATAGTCGCCTGAAAAAGACACTCTGTTCATTCTACCTCTCTCCCTTTGACTCTCTCTCACACACACACACGCACACACACACACACACACACACACACACACACACACACACACAAACACACACACACACAAACACACACGCACACACAACCTGGCCAGGGCAGGCTGTGACTGGGCTGGTAGCTCAGGGCAGATGGTGTGCAAAGCAGGGTGCTAGGTGGGTGGAGGGGTTAGTGTGTGTGTGTGTGTGTGTGTGTGTGTGTGTGTGCGAGAGAGTGGGGGTTGGGGGTGGGGTGCTGGCATCTCTGTTTATTAGCTGTCACAGTGAGATAGCCTCAACCTCTAACACACACACCTACTAGCATGACAGCAAGGAATACACATCCAGGACCAAAGTATACCTGAACCAAGAAGCTCACGCATCCATGGTACCGTTAGCCTTCTAAACGAGACCTAATGACCATACATCATGGAGCACCTCCTCCTCTCTGAAAGGGTCATTTTCTAACTGATCCCGGACAAGCACAGAAAACCGCTCTAGACGTAGACCTTTTAACTTCTTACCTTTTCCTTTGAATGTATTCTGAGATTATTGTGTTAAGCACCAAAAGTTAACGACACACCAAAGACTAACAGGCTATTTTGAGTTTTCTGCCATTAACGGTCTTCCTTTTTTGCCGAACAGACGTCCACCAAACAAATCTCTCGACTTTTGCTGATGAAGATTGGTATTTTCTCCTCACCTTGCCGATGAGCTTCCCTTTCTTGTTCATGCAGATGTAGAAACCCGTCTCGGCTCCCTTGATGCGCACTCGACTCCCGAACGTGTCTGTCTCCACGATTAGTTTGGCTGAAGGGATCAAAACAAAAAGAAAACTTTTAGTAAAAGTGCCCTTTTTCCTTTAGTATTATTAAAACATTAAAGACCAACAGCATTGACAACAACAAACGCAGAAAAGCATGAGTGTGTTTCCAACCACGCATAGCCTCTCTCACAAACACACATCACCAGAGCCCGTGGGACTGGTCTTGAGATTTTGTGCAAGCTGCTCAAGTTCTTGCTGAATGATAAAACCACGTGTCTCACGATTCTTTGAAAGCTCTAGATGAGCGACCCTGACAGACCCACGGAGGATTCCTCTTCAAATGAATCTACGTTGACAGATAAAGCTCCACATTTATCTCTATATCCTGTGACGTTCTGAAAGACACGCAGACTGTTCTTTTTGCTTTTAACGCTACTTCTCACAAAGAAATTCTATGAACTCTTGTACAATGACAGATGACGTTCTCGTCAACCTTTTTCCAGAAACATTACATCATTTTTTTAAATACTTCAAAAAAAAGTGGATTCATGACATCGACCCCAGGACTCACCCATCTACCCACTGACTCCACGCCACCTGGTCCCAGGCAAAGACAGACTTGGGAGGCTTTCACACTCACGACTTTTTCTCGTTGAATTTCATTGACCTGAATAGCTTGGGCTCTACTTTTGAGGCCACACGCCGTGACGTCATCGCAAAGACAGCAAACACAACGTTTTGAATAGCTATTAAAGTGGCATTAAACTCCCAAAAAGTAGGGTCCGGACAGGCTGCAAAGCTCAACAAGGTCCGTCTGGTTGAGGCCGCACAAATTGGGGTTGGAGGTGGAGAAGTGGAGTGTGTGACGGGCGGGGGGGAGCTATGCAGGAAATGTTTGGAAGGTGGAGAAGTGAGATGACTTCTAATGGCTCCGCCAGACTGAGGCTTGATCTCTGGAGGATCACCTCCTGCACCTTTAACAATCCGGAGTATGGTTTCTGAACCACGAGGAGGCACAGACTTTAAATCCCTAGGACCACTCCAGTCAGTCCACTGTTTGCTTTAAAAAGAGGAGCCTTTTCATAATCCCAATGATGGGGGGGGGGGGGGGGGGGTCTGGTCCCCTCACAAAACCAGTGGGAAATGCACTAATGGAACCATTTTTAATCCCTTCTCTCCCTGTTTATGGAGATTCAGTACTTATTTATTATTTTTGACCTCAGCTGATTTTCACATCTCAGATATATTTTTTAAATGATCCTGGCCTTCTTCACTATTTTAATACAATTACAAAAGGACAGAGAAAAATAAAGGCTGTGAATATTTCAATCACAAAGCAAAAACGAAATGTAGAGGCAAAAATGAATACCGACTTTTGAAAATAAATTAGGGGGAAGAGCGTTCTTTTTTTTTAGTATACAATTTTGAAGAGGCCATAAGAAAATGAATTGTGTGAATGAACAGTACAAATGTGTAGGCCAGCAGTGAAAAAAGGTGATGAGGGAGATTTCTAAACTGCATGCCAACATTTGATCTAACCCCAAACTAAAATGCCCACGTACTAAACGGACAATTAAAAAGGTATGGCGTGGATTGTAAATACATTTTAAAATACATCCAGACTAGTCATTGCACATGGCGAAATTTTAAGAGCAGGTGTATAGATAAAAATACATTATTTGAATGTACAAAAAATTAAACGCTCAAGAGATCCAGCTTAAAAAATGTTTCGCAGTTCTTGAGTTGTAGAGGAGGATCTTTGTCGCAGTTGGGCAGCACAGGACGGTCGTGTCAATTTATTTTATCGCTTACCGTGCACGTCTCCATCGTCGGCCATGGCGTTGATCTTCTTGTTGGGCAGGACCTGCACATGCTTGCCGCTGGTCCGGCTGTACAGCTGGTAGACCCGGATCAACCTGCGGCTCACGCGGTCCGTCACTTTGCTCTGCTCGCTTACATGCTGCGTGAAATTAGGCGGGGACTGATTGGTTACCTGTCAGAAATTAAATGTCACCATAATCATCAGTACGTGTTCATTCGTCTTCCTTTTTTTAATGATTTCTATTTATGTAGTTGACTGACATTAAAAAACAATCGGATCGGGGTTACTGGGATTCACAGTGGGGAGAGATTTCCTAACGCACCAACAGCTTGTTGTTGTTTATCCCCCGAATGACAAGGGTAACAACCTCCAGAAGCGCCGCTGCCAAAACGAAATGAACGGCTTCCAAAACAGACGCGCGTTGTGATTACAAGTTGTACGCACGGGGAGAGAAAGCGAGCTACTTAACTTCATGACTGAAAATACTGACCCCTGCTTACTTCTCAGGTTCGCACAATACCCCCCACCCACACCAGCGTTTCCCCTCTGCCGCGCATCCCGTGCCAGGCCCGGTGTGTGTGTTCATCAGCACACCGGGCCAAGCGGGCCGCGTGCCTCCGCGGGAGCCAACCTATTTCGTTGTTGCGATGAACCCCTCACCTTATTTTTGCCCCTTTGCCGTGCGTCGCGCGCAAAATGTTTCATTAAATTCTCGGATCCTAATCCTAATTGATGTAAATAAATCCTAATAATCTGCATTTTAACGATCAAAATCAAATAAAACAATAAAGTATGTGACAAAAAGAAAGGCAGTGACATACCTGAGCAAAATAGCAGAATGAAAACAAGTGTAGACACCTGCAACGAAGGAGAAGACACGTTAAATTAGCTTGGAGAAGCAGTAGCAACGCGTAAAGAAGGTGGAGGTGAAAGGATGGAGAGAGGCACTTACAGATAGCCCAGTCTGAATGCAACGGGTCGCATCTTGAATGGAGGTTATAAAAAGGCTCCTCCAGTGAATTCTCGCCAAGGCTGCAAAGTCCAGCCAAACTCTTCGCAAGTCAGACACCCAAGTCCAAAGATCTCACCGAAAACAATCCACAACAGCAAAAAAAAGGTCTGACAGAGACGGGCTTATGCATGCGCAGCGGGCACACTCATCGTCGAATAAATGTCCATAACTGGCTCAAGTTGCAGTGATGATTGAATGGAGAAGTTCTGTCAGAGGCTGTTCGTAAAGTCTAAGTGCACTTAAAAAAGCGGAGTAAGTTTTCTCTTTTTTGGAAAAGCGCTGCAGGATTTTGTTCAACTATATTTATAGATGCATATTAATGTTAACAAACACGTCGGTCCCGGGCTGTCAGACTATTCATCGCGGGTTGTAATCCTCTGCGGCCCTCAGGTGCGTGTGTTTGTGTGTGTGAGATCCAGTGGAGACTCGAGGCGCCTTCAGTGCTCTATGCTGTTGCTTCTCCGCTCGCTTGTGGCAGGACTGCAGGGGCTGGACGCTGCGCGCGCGCGTGTCTCTCTCTCTCTCTCTCTCTCTCTCTCTCTGCTCCTGCTCCCATCCCACACACCGCTGCCGTGTCAAAGCCTGTCGGTCGGTCGCACTCTATACGCCCCCACCCCCAGTCAAAAACCTGCAGGGCGATCCTGCTCATACCCCCCCTCTTTTCTTTCCTTCGCGGAACAAAAGCGCTCTCCCCTCCCAAACAGCCCCCCGATTAAAAACATCGCTCTACCTGAGGAGCGACCCTTACTAGCAGGGGGAGAAAGAGTAGGCTACATACACACATATATACATTTATATATATATATATATATATATATATATATATATATATATATATATATATATATATATATATATATATATATAGGTGGGGGTGTGTGTCTCACACATACTTCCATAAGTCATCTCTCCGGAATACGTGTGGGTGGGTGTGTGTGTGGGTGTGTGTGTTGTGTTTGGCTTGGGTTTTTTTGGGGGGGGGGGGGGGCATTTGCGGTGACCAGTTTTGTGTATTGACAGACCAAGTGTGAGACATATTAAAAGGATTACAGGCGATTAGTACACCCCCAACACCCCACCACAAACAAGCTTTTAAAAAGATGACTTATTCAGTCTTGGCAGCATGAAACAAATAGCCCTATTTCAGTTTTCTGAAACGAGAGAGATGTGCGACATTAATCACCCACACACACTTTCATACAGAGTGAGTGTGCTCGTTATCGGTTTCGACTTTATTGATTGTTTTGGCCATTAATTAGACCGATCGGTATCGGGCACTTCATAAGACACAGAAACTCAGCATGGTCTGATTGATAAAACGCATTCAATGGTTCGTTCAATTAACTGGAGAGATTGTTTGTATATTGTAAAGAGTAGTCTGCAGAATTGAGAGTACCCAGGGCCCGGACGATCAGGAGAAGTTGAAAAAACGTTTCTCCTTGTCAACTAGCCAGCTGCAGAACTTTGAATAAATACTGCACATATTGACCTTGATGCATCTTTTTCAGGCAGATTAGAGGTGTTTCTCTTGGTTTGGATGTCGTGCAGGGTGCAGCCACCAGTGGGCGCTGCAGAAGGGTCAAGTGGTAACCTCCCGGTTTTCTTGATGGTGAAATGTGACAGTGGTGGGGCTGTAAATTGCAATAACATCTTCTTCAGTATACATAGGTGTGTGTGCGTGTTTTTGACTGTATATATTAAATATATTAAACTTCAGCATTTAACACGAACGCATTATGTGAGGTGGGTCAGTAAGGTGAGGTGCATACCAGTTTCTTACTGCTGTTGGCAGTCTGTGTGACGAGCTGCAGGTAGCTGCCACTCCTTACGCTGGCTCAGGGCCTCCCCTTAACCCCAGGAGCCCTGCATCCATCAGCAGCCCTGCAGGGAAGGGGTGGGGATGAGGAACACCCTTCCCCCTCTGTTTCCAGTCTACTTCTCTCTCTTCTCTCCTCCTCCTCATGACCAGAGGATAAATCATATTTTTAACTCAATTTTTTGTATTTATGTTAAACAACATTCTGCATTTTTGTGCTTCCTCCTGAATTATGTTAGGATTATGTTATTATGCCAATTTAGGAGAACATCCATCATTGCTGTCCATTTAAGATTCAAGATATTTATTGTATGTGTACAGTTTAACAGGTTCTTATTTTGCTATGTCCTCCTTCCACAAAGCCACATAAAAATAAAACAAAATAATAAAAATTAGAGTAAAAAGATATATTTATGTATATAGCACAATGTATAAATATGTTCATTCGTTAGGCATATGCTAAAGTGCACCATTTAATTTAACATGCTCAAAAAAGAATCTTGTGGAAAATTGAAATGTCATATCTATGTTGAACTACCTTGTTGCCATTCCTTGTCGCGTTGTGTTATTACATTACGTTGTGGTTTAAGACATTACATTAAGTTGTTGCATTATGTTGTTGCACTACGTTGTTGCATTACGTTTATGGGAGAAGAAAGTCCATAACGGGAGGTTGTTAATTATTCATGCTGATGAAACTATACGTTACATTTTCATGTTGTTCCATTTACGGTAACGTTATTGTGTCAAAACGTTAGCCACGTGGCATTGTCCACTTCTGCAATCGTCATACGGGCCCGACATGAAGGAACATTTCTTGGTTCAGAAATGTCAAAGTTCAATGTATGACTATAAAGTCTATACAATAACCAATACCATTTTACCTTTCCCTTTTTAAGCCCCCTTTTTTTCAAGTCACCTTGTTCACCTCCCTCTCCAACATGCGGCCATCTGCCATCTCCCTCTGCTCTTCCTCTTACATCCAATCATTTCTTGCTCTCTCTCCCTACACCTCAATCCGAGGTGTGCTTCAAATGAAGTGGTTAACTTAATTACGTCTGAACCCGTTCCGAGTGTTCACACTGTTCAGGTCTGTGCTGACATATCCCCCTCCTGACCCCATCACATCATACACCAAAATCCCTCTCCAACATCTCTTGATGATACATGGAGCGGACAGGTTCAGCAGTTTCCAAATAATCAAGGTACAGTGGCGTAGAGAGTTGATGATCCAGGAGGTACAGCTTGTTAACATTCATCAGTGCATTGGAATGCAAATTGCTTGGACCACAACCAAGGACAATAACAAAAAAGTGAATTTATTTTGACTTAATGTAAATATTCGGGAGCTAATTTCAAATTAAGTTAACACCAAATGATAGGTTGAGGCCACTGAACTTCTGTATAATATTGAAAACTGTCAAAGACAAGACAGTGAAAGACCTCTTTGTAGCATAGATGATAACATTGTATAACAAGTGGAAAAACATGATGAGAGTGAGAATATCTCAACCAAAGACTATATATATATGTAGATACTAAACTGATACCACATTAATAAATTAATTAAATTAGATCATCAAGTGATGATTAGTTCAGAAGAGAATCCACAGAGGAAGCTTTCTTCCCTTACTGATTAACTATGAATCATCCACACAAGTAGTAATAACTACTATTTAATCAATCGCTACTACTCGAATTACAACCATCCAAGTATAATAGACAGAGCCGAGCCAGGAGCCTTGAGAGAACTCTTTGGTCCTCCAGTCACTGTCTCAGGCCCCAGGCATTATGGTGTGTGTGTTCCTTCACCCGGTTATCCAATTGGAGGGAGAGAAAGAGAGAGAGCCTGGCATTTATGAATTAACAGACATTTCCATTCCTGAACTCCAGTGTGTCTTCGATTGCCTTGCTGGGTTTGACCAAAAATACCCAGCTTCAAGGTGCACATGCTAGTTAATGCCCATTCCATATGACCATTTAAAGCTAGTGCAAAAGCTTTAGCAGCAACCCATGTTCCCTCTCTGCTCTGACATCTGGATGTTTTCAATCCTAACCCTGCAGTGAAGTTGTGTTCGCAGGAGACAACCCTGCAGAGCATCTCCATTCAAAGGGTTCAGCCACCACAGGGCTGTTTTCTGTGAAGAGCAGGTTGTTTTTTGGTCCCCCTTGGTTTTAATCGCAATTGTCTTAGCCGGGCCCTTTCAAAATAGATTTGACAGGTAGCAGAAGGAGAAAGGGAACAGGATGAGATGCGTGTACAATGGCAGACTTAGCCCGGCAGTCTACATTTGTTGATGCGCACAAGCTTCTGTACAACTTTTGTGACCTAAATTACGTACTTAACGATTAACAGTGGCCCAACAAACTTTCTACATATCAAATATACAATATATATACAATATATTATTTGGGGTTTTAGGAGTATTCTTTGAACAGGAGCTGCATGGCCTTAAGCCCTCCACTTTTCCATAGTTTGTGGGTATAAAGTGAATGTTAGGGCCTCGAACCCTGTCTTACACAGTCAACGTGGGACGAGGCCCCTGCTGACGAGGCTTCGGCAAGCTACTCAAATGGACCAGATGATGTTGGTGAGAAGAGGGAAAGAGACAACTTGCTATACAGCTGTATTATTTTGCTAAGTGTGTTTGACACTAATTGGAAAATACACGGCTGCGTGTGAGCAAGAATATTAGTTTGATTTCATTGACCCTTAAACTGCTTAGGGGGAATAATGTTTTTCTAGGAATATTAGCGAAAAAAGTAATATGTGTTTGCCAATGTCATCAGTGTTGGCAACTTGTTAATGAAACAAATGCCTGTTGAATGTTTGTAAAGCTCTTTCAGTCTGTGGGTCTCATCTAGTTTCTGACAGGAGGGTCGTGGACCACCACAGTAACCACGACACACACACACACACACACACTCATCTAATTACACACCCAGATCTTCACACTAGACACAAATGGAAGCTGTCCTTCGACACGCACGCACACACAAACACACACATACACAAAAACACACACAGAGTTTTAAGGAGCCAAAGCTGGACTGTGACTCTGACCTGGTGGCACAGGATCATGTCGATGCAGAGGTCAAGAGTCTCTTCAGAGAGCCTCACATGTGTTTCATGACTTGAGCTGTTGGCCCTAAGAGCGCACAAGAGAAGCAGATGACTTCGATGTGTGCTGTCCGTGACGAGAACACACAAACCACACACGGCTTACCTGTTTAAATGCAGTGGACTGACACCTGGCGGTTTGAGAACAGTCACTAATGTTTTCCCTGAATAGGAACCAGAGTAGGAACTACTCTGCAAAGCAGCCAATCCGGCTGAAACTGGCTTTGCTCATTAAAACACTTGAAAAAAATAGTATTAATCTGTATTTAAAGGAAGCTGTACTCGGTTAACGGCATTCATCATCACGACTGTTAGCTAATAAATGTCATCAATAGGCAGTCAAAACAAACATTCCTGCTACAATAACAATGGTTAGCTTAGCTTTTTGTTCCCGTCAGTGTCAACGTGATCTCACAGCATTATGTAAATTGCTCACAAGTCTCTTGAGGTGGCACAGCATTTTTTTTTACGTTTAGGTTTAGCTGTATTGCTAATGTTTAGGAAAGAAAATATCTTGGTTAGGTTTAAACAAACTACTATTCATTAGATCAGTGCTAATATA